AGGTTACTATGGGACTGGAACCAGAGTATGTTTGGCTTTTTTGCCACCAGAATAATGACATAAATGATGAATTAGAAAATTAAGTAATTTGCTAATTATTTCAGGTCTAATTAGATCAATAAATCCTAAAAGTACATTTTCATTTTCTCATTTGGCAGATGCTTTTATCCAAAGCGACTTACATTTGAGGAGTAAACATACAAGCAAGAACAAAGCATCAACAGAGCAAGAGATCTACAAGTGACAATTATTAGGGAGCCGTATTGGTTTTGTTCTGATTCTTCTTCGACTTCTTCTTCTTTTTCTCCACAAAAAATGTTTGGGCAGCAAAAATTGCTGGATGAAAACTCAACAAAATTGGCAAATTCCACCCACTACTCAGGTGGCGCCATAACAATCAACTTTGCGTTTTTGCAATTATCTCGAAAACGGCTTTGTTTAAAGTCAAACTTCTTTCATTATTTTAATCTCTGGATTCATCTGCATCTTTGCTCCAATGGTCTTCTGCTCTAAAAATGTCAAACTATACTTTTCATCTCTTTTCTCTAAAACCTATTTTTGCGAACTCGTCCCAGACGGTTTCGCCCATCGACCTGAAACTTTGACAGGAAAGATCCTGGACGTTGCTGATCAAAAGTTATCAAAAGAGTTTTGATATGTCAATCTGTTTTTTTTTTCATAAATTTTTACTTTTGTGTATTTACGTACAATTTCACATAAATGCCCGTAAATCAAAGTTGGCTTAAGCTATTGTCACCAAACTTGATGCGTCTTGATGCTCAGACGCTCGGCCCAAGCTTCTCTGAGCAGTCCTGGGATTTTCTTCCACTAGGGGGCGCTACACTTGCAAAACGTTTATACCACGTAATTTGCTGGATCGATTCGCGGGTCACTACTCAGTTGATGTATAAAAATTGGTAATGATTGTGCAAAGTGGGCGTGGCTTATTACAAGAAATGTAAATTTCTAGACATTTCTTGACAGTTAGCGTTTTAAGTTTAAACTGACAAAACTATCCGGCTCAACTTGTGAGAAGGTGTGGGTAAACAGCCTCTCACCACTAGCTCAGTCAGTAAGTCACCTTCTCTGGAGATCTGCAGGTTCAGGGTTTAAATCCACAGGTGAGCCAGTCAGACGTGCTGACAATGGGGGTGTTCCGATCGTTGCAGTTGTCTATTTTATTTGGATCCCTAGCAGTTTCTTCTTATTTTTCTCTGCTTAAAAGTGTTTGTGCAGCTTAAACTTTAAATCTTAGAAACACAAAATGTCGCAGGTGGGTTGAACATTTCACCCAGTAGTCAGGTACATATAATGACACAATGACTGATCTCAAGGCGATGCTGTAAAAATCAAGTTTGTGTTTCCGCAATTATATCAAAGTCCAAAGTCTTTCATCTCCTTTGTCTCTTAAGTCGTCTGCGTCTGTTCTTCTCCTCTGAAAATGTCAAATGTTGCGTTTTTCGCGGCTATATTTATTATTAAACCTTAAGAACAACTTCTTATTTATGAGCAAAAGGTACTTTTATTTGTCACATACATGTAGCGAGATTCATCCTCTGCATTTAACCCATCCCTAAGGGAGCAGTGGGCAGCCACTGTACAGCGCCCAGGGACCAGCTCCTGATTGAAATGCAGTGTCTGGTCAAACTACACTGACTGGAGAACCTACCTAACATGTTTTTGATGGTGGGGGAAACCCACGCAGACATGGGGAGAACATGCAAACTCCACACAGGAAGGCTGTGCAATCACTACAAGAGCTCTGACAGCATGTGGTAGCTTGTTCCACAATTGTGGTAATCACAATAGGCAGTAGAAATAATTATTTTTACTTATAATTACTATTCTGTAGGTTAAATGAAAATAGGTACAATTACAAAAAAAATCAGCACTCTTCACATCACATGTTGGTGATGTGTATTAGTGCCTTGTGTTAGAAGTTTGTTTCACTAATTGTCCAGTGATCTTGGATTGACTGAGGATTTCTCCCCTCTCTCCTCTCAGTCCGTCCACCGCCGTCACCCCCACCTCAACCTCAGCTACCAGTCGGCTCGGCTCCTCCCAGGTGCCCACCACCCCCATCACTCCCTCCGCCACCTCGGCAGGTTCCCCCACAGCCACCACCCCCTCCACCCCTACAGTGAGCTCTCTGGCCGCAGGGGCAGCCAATCCCACGCAGCCCATCCAGCTGAGAGACCTGCAGAGCATCCTGGCCACCATGAACGTGCCTGCCAGCGGCCAAGGAGGTGAGGAACCGACCGTAGACAACATAGCTTCAGGCGGACTGAAAACTGCGCTTCTCAGGACTGAGATAAAGAAAATACATAATTAGGACTTAATTGGGGTAATTTTCAACTAATTATGCAGCAAATAATTAGCATTGTGAAAGCAACAGTCTCTGTAATACTGTGTAATTTTAACTTAATAAATTCTGCTTGTTGCAGACAACATTCAGACTCCCGTTTATCATCTAAGAGGTATAATCCCTACCACCTAGATTAAGTTTGGATCACATTATTGACTTCAGAGTCACATACAGAAATATGCGTTCTGATTATGCTGAAGAAATAGTGATTTAACAACAGTAGGTAAGAAAATATGGATGTTTTTAGATTAACCGGTCAGTGGTGGTGTTTGTTACCTACAGTGGACCTCGCTAGTGTCCTGACGCCTGAGATAATGGCTCCCATCCTGGCCAACCCCGAGGTGCAGCAGAGGCTGATGCCCTATCTGCCCTCTGGAGAGTCCCTGCTCCAAAGCTCAGAGGAGCTCCACAACACGCTCAGCTCGCCTCAGTTCCAGCAGGTAGAGCGTACGCTGCTCAACGTCCTCTGTGGTTTCCAATGTGAAATAATTAAGTACATTTACTCAAGTACTGTACTTGAAAAACTTCTACTTTACGTTTATTCCCATTTCATGCTACTGATTAGTTTTGGTGCTTGTTACTTTGTAGATTAAGATTATTAATACAAAATGTTAGTTAACTAATATATGAAATGTTATGATAGCTGAAGCTAACCAGCTTTAAATAATAGATAAAAGGATCCCTACTTTTACCAGCTGCAACATTAAAGTGAACACAATTGCATTACTAATTCTAATCCAGTAATTTTATATAAATGATTGCCAAATGGGCCATTATACTGCATAACTGTTGTTGTATCAACATTTTGATACAAATATGTTTATGTAGTATTTTTACACTGTAGTATTGCTACTTTTACTTAAGTAAAAGATCCGAATACTTTGTAGCTCAGTATCATTTGAAAACTAGAAAGATGGTGATGTCTTCTTTTTAGTTCCAGGAAAGTTTATTTCATTTGCCATCCATCACCAGACTGGTATTTTTCTTTTTTTGTTTATGGACATATATAGATGGTTTTTGAGATTTGTGGTCAAACAATCATTTAACAATTCCAACAGATTATGATCTTATTTGTTGCCTGTGTAAGCAGTTTCAGGCTGGACATCTGATAAATACACAAACCACAACATTTTTCTGTCCTTGGGCACAGAAATAGCATGTGAAGATACTATATTTTCCTTTTAGCCTCATTATAAATCGCTCTTTTGTTGGTATTTAGCATCTTGTTGTGGTTTTCGATCTTATTCTTGATATTTATTGTCTCTCTGCAGGCTATGAGCATGTTCAGCAGCGCTCTGGCGTCTGGGCAGTTAGGGCCTCTAATGAACCAGTTTGGCTTGCCTACAGAGGCCGTCGATGCGGCTAACAAAGGAGGTCAGTGTTTCGCCCACATCAAGCTGAGACACAGGAACTGTTTGTGTCACTGGAAGAAAACTTATTTGAACTTTCATGTCTACACAGGAGACTGTAATTAACTGAGAAACCTGAAATGTTTACAGTGACATTACTTTTTATCAAAAGGTAGAGTGTAACTAAGTACATTTACAATTTTGTACTTTACATGAGTATTTCAAAATTATACTTGACTATGGGTCAAATGGAAATATATTTTTTACTCCACTACATTTGTGACAGCTAGTTACTGTGTAGATTTAGATTTTACATATAAACATTTGATCTTATAAAAAGTACAGATGGATTAAAATGAGCTCCTCTACAGCATTTAACTGCTTACACACTAATGCAGTAGTAATGATTATTGCAATAATATAATATAGCATAAGATACTTTAAGTACAAATTGCTGCTACCTATGTATGTAAAGGTTTAGTGCAGGACTTCCTGCAATCATTCTGATAACTGCGTAATTCCAATTTTTCAAGCAAAAACTACAAAAAACTGAGCTCCCAGCTTATCAAATATCAACATTTACATTTTGGTTTTGGACCGTTTGTTGGGCAAAACAAGATATTTTAATATCTCATAGTGAATTCTTAATGGACATTTTTCACTATTTAAAAAATAAAGTATGATAATCCCTCACTATATTGGACTGATAGTTCATATAATTAATTAAGAGGCTAATCTGCATAATAATTGATATTTGCAGCCCTAATTTCTGGACATTTCTATAATTGCAGATGTGGAGGCTTTTGCAAAAGCCATGGAAACGGAGACAAAGTCAGACCAAGATGGAGACACCAAAGACAAGAAAGACGATGACGAAGACATGAGTTTGGACTAAGAACTCTTTACATAATTATTTAATGTATTTATTTAGCTGCTTCTTCTGTTTTGTAACTGTTACACACGAAGGATAAAGATTATGGTTAAAAGTAGTAGAAAGTGTAACTTAGACCCTCCCTTCGCTGATAAATGCCGTGTTCATCCTCCCAACACTGTGTGGAATTAATATCTACTGATTTAACATGTATTCTACCTGCACGTCTGTGCTGTCCAAACACAAGGGAACAGTAAAATCATCACAAACACATTTGTCTGATGTGTTTTTTTTCCCCCTGACTGTTTTGTTAACGATCACTTGGTGCATACTTTTAGTTTCCGAACCGCCCTGAGGAGATGAAAACATCTTCATACACAATAAATTGATTTGACTAGAAAAAACAAACTCAAACTTCAGTGTCTGAAAATATATTTCAAAAACATTGAATTTCACAGTTTAAAACAATGAATATTCACCAATTTGACACCAACCATACAAGTACAACAATTTCTGCAGTTACACAAATGTGTTTGGACATTTATTGTAATACATTTTTTTTTCCACCACTGCAGACACAGACAACAAACTGAATCACCATCATGTCCACGGCTCTGAGAAGTCTGATTAATCTCTTTGACAGATAAGAACAACCTCAACATTTAAAGACCTCTACAGCAGCAAGTAATGCCAACGCTAAATATCACTTACGATATGGCCACTTCACTGCCACTGTAGTTTCAGGCACTTGTACCCCCCCGCCCCCCACACACACGTTTATGCCTAATGGCATCCAATCTGAATAGCCACTACACAATAAGTTCTGCAGTTTGGTTAACAACGTCTGGCACATGTAGAAGCATCTATTCACATAAAAGGAGTCACAATGGTTGCTTTTCCCCATATTGTCAAAGTACTACAATCAGTTACCTTCCATTGACTTACAATGGAGCACAGGTGATTTCAGTTATAACAGCCATAGTAACAATGTTTAAACTTCTCTTTGGGTTAGATTTAATGAGCCATTTAAAGATATGAGAAAGTAAACTTCCTGAGAACTTAAAAAAATATAAAGAAAAAAAAAAACAAAACAATAAATTCCAGTGCACTTTACGAAAACATATCCCTGGGTAACAATGTGATACAAAAACTAACTATAAATAATATGCCTCCACAATCATGTTTTCATTCAGTACAACTGGGTTTATACTGTATATCTGCAAAGTCTGACAGAGCTGCCGCAAAAGTCTAAAATAATTATCCATTCTATTCAAGAATAAGATAAATATATGAAATACAGTACAAATATCGAATGAAAACAAATTAAAGGCCACTTCCTTCTCTAATAAGAGAAGGAAAATAAAGTCATGTCTTTCACCAACAATCTACAGTATGATGGTTCAGCCAGCTAACGCTTCAATGTCACAGTGGAGTTTAAAAGGCATTTACAAAATCAACAGTATGGTTCTTTGTCATTTTATAATAAATACTATACAGGGAGTGCATATAGCAATGAGAAAGGTGCAGGAGAAGCATTTTCCACAAATACAAACATCACAGTGTACATATCATGTAAATAGGAGGTGCAGAATACTACGACGTACCAAAAGAAAAAAAGAAGGGGTCACGGGGAAACCACAATTAAAGCACAATTAACGTGCTCATTGAACATCTCTAACATAGAGCTCATGACTGGTTCGACATCAGAACGTCACACAAACACATTCAGAGAGATGCACATGCCAACAAGTGTAAAAACTAGTTATTCTTCATATACAGCGAGTGACTTAAGTCACGACTGACAGAAAGTAAATAGTACCAAAATTCATTGTTTCAAACACCACAGCTTATAAACTGGTCGATACACCACACACACACTCGCTCCCTCAGCTACAATTGCAGCCGTGAACTGTGATATTAAAACTGACAGTTATCTAGCGATTTACATTTGCTTATCTACGGTATTAAATTCTACCGTATTAGTGTTATTAAAAAAGGTTTATTTTAAGTTTTATGTCTGTCAGGACTAGGGCTGAAGGATTTGGAAAAAAATATGTAATTGCGATACAATTTGTGATATTTGAGAGAATGATCATTTTAACATAATTCTCAATTTTCACATATTGATTCTGTATCTGTACCAATATTTTATTTTATTTAAAATTTAATTTTGACACACATTTTGCCTTTAACAAATATTGCACCTCCTGCGATTTGAAAGTTGCGGTAGGGCCATATTGTAATTTCGATAAATTGTTCAGCCCTAGTCAGGACATAATATTCAGCGAAATTAAAATAGAGCATTTGATCAACCAAAAATACCCTCATACCACTGCAACCGTACACTGACTCTGATTCTAAGTCCTAATTACCACACGCACACACACACACACACACACACACCCCTTGCTGATGTTTTTAAACCCTAGAGTGTCAGATATCACCATGTCCAGTCTAACCCTGCTGCACCAGTCTGCGGTAGTGCGGCATGACCTTGCTCTCGGGCAGGTAAAGTCCCATCTCCAAAGCAACCAGCACTGGGAACTCCAGAGGAATCAGCTCTCGTCTGTTTATACGGAAACGCTCCTCCAGCTTCTGCTCGGCCGCGGGGAGAAAAACCAGAGAAGGAGGGTTTAAAGGAAAACATGTCATCATGTGGTTGATGTAAACAAGATGCAGAGGATCACACTGAGATGTTGGGGTGGGTCATGTGTCATGGTGTTTCCAATAGAAATGTTTACTTTGTCAATTAGGGATTATGATGATTTGTGATAAATGGACAGCTGTGAATTGCAATAGTTTAATGGCAGGGTTATCAAAATAACTCATTATTAATTAATTTACACTTCTCTCAGTAGCGACAGTCCACTTTAATAAACAATCAATGTATATATATTTATGTGCTTTACCTGTCTACATTGTGTCCTACCTCTCACCAAAATCAATAGCAATATTTTGTATTAATATCAGATTTTAAAGAACTTGAGGATAACAATAAATGAAGAATAATCCTAGGAGAAGGACATATGGCAAACCTCACCACCAAGTATTTGTCCTTATGTCACAACCTGAGGGACAGCAAGTGACTCAGTGAACTGTTGCACTTAACGTTCGCTGCATGGTAGGTTAAATCTTGTTAAATCCTGTTTGTAGTTTACGTTCTTGGTTGTTTTGTTGCTTTGGCAACATTGTTTTACTGAAACATTCATGCCAGTAAAGCACACTGAACTTAAACTGTCTATAACCGGTTATGCATATACATTTACTACATAACTGCACAACCTACTACATTAGTTTATTTTTGTACACTGTACACCAGTCTACCACAGTATATTATTTTATTATATTTCATACATATTATATTTTATTCCTATATTTTAAAGTCTGTGTCTTAGATTCTCATTTTTTTCCATTATGATTTTCTTTTGTACATTTTTATATGAGCATTGTTGGAGGGAGCCTGAGCTCAAGAATTTCACTGCCTATGACTGCATCACTGTAATTGTTGTGCATATGACGAATAAGGAACTTAACAGCAGCTCACTGAATGAAAATTAGCTCATGTTAAGCTAATATCCTTAATATTTAAAGAATTGTATTGTATACTTCCCTATATATTATTTTTCATTGTTAGTGGCCGCCATTCCCACATTTCATTAAAATTGCCTTCACACACACAAGGAACTCACAGGAAACAAAGCATTTATGTAAAGTTTAAAGGTTTATCTCCTTGACATTACCCTCTTTATTTCTGCTAGTTCACATTAAAAGCATTCAGCTGGCGAAATGCAGGATGGCTTTTATTTTTGTGGATGGTCTTGTGAAAAATTGTTTTTCTGGACATGTAACCACAGGTGTCACTAAAATCTTAAGGATTATGACTGTAATTTGTTTTGAAATGTTTCCCTACTGTAGGCACAGATTCCCCTCCTCATATACAAAGTGTACATGCTGTATATGATCAATGTTTAACAGAAACATTATTAAAGTTTTAGTTCGCTCAGCAGCAGCTGAATTTGAGGAGCTGCTTCGCTGCTTCATTCTTCAACTTTAACCAGTTTAAATAATTCAGCTTTTATGTATGGAGCCTTTACTTGCATTGCATTGTAAAGAGCCCGTTTCCTGTTTTCTCTCCTGCCGTTGAAAGAATAATGTTTGGTACACTGAGCTAGGTACAACATGTGTTACAGGTTTTTCCACCCTTCTGTTATTGGCATGAGGAGGGTGACAGGTTACATGCCCTCCTCTGTTTTATGTTTCCACTCTGTGATCTGTTTCTGTGGAAACTTTACTCACATCAATGAGCTGTTTGACTTCTGGCTTCCTCAGATCACTGCTGATCTTTGCAGCCAGCAGCACGCACGCCGCCGCCACCAGCTTCCTGTTCTGTTTGTTGAGGCGACCCTGCAGCACCAGCTTCTCAAAATAAACAAAAGCCATCGCTGTCGTGACCGGCTGTAGACCGAACTCCTCACTCACGGCCCGCATGTCTCTCTTCAGGCTAGTGGAGAGGAGGAAAGAAGTCATAGTTACTAATCAATTTTCTAAGAAAGGATTTGGTGACTTGATTTAAAAACTACAAGGAGATGTGAGATGGTGTTCAACCTTCAAAATCTCTTAGAGGAGAATTTAAAGATCCAAGGTTGCAATGTAATATATCTGTACCTTCTTATCTTGCTCAGAGTCAGCTTGATGTGAGGAAACTTCTCCCTGAAAGTCTCATTCATGTCCTTCTTCAGGTCAGATGGTTTCACATACTCAATAACAGTCGTCTGCAGAGGTGAAAAACAAACCAGCCTGTCAGCATGAATTATAGCTACAATAAAGCTTTATGTTTTGCTTTTTTTAAAAACACACACACACACACACTCTGATGCTAGAGGTTACAGTCTTGTGACAAGGTCTACTCAGCCGCAATAAAATCATGTGAACGGGACATAAAGGATGTATTTTACTCTCTGAACGGGGCTGGAGGACAGTTCAGAGGTGGAGAACTGCTTCATTTCACAGGTTATGAGAGAACAATTTCAGTAAGTTAACTCAAATTAAACTGTCCCTGATTTCTGAAACAAATAAAAGACAGCCCATGTGAGACAATCAGTGCTTTTACATGCACTAAAGAAACTTCCTTCTTTTAGTAATCATGATTTTTTTTGGTGTGTTTGTCGTAGTCTGGACATTGTGTTACTTCAGGGTTCCTGCAAAGTTCACAAAGTGGAATTTAAGACCTCTTTAAAACCCCAGAGTGCAATTTAATACCCGGATTCACTGGAAAACCAGTCGGGACGATAAGGCCTATAATTATTTATTATTATGTCACACTTTTTAGTAATTCCAAGCAGTATATAATAATTATTTCTAATGCTAATTAATTGAATAACTGTAACCTGGGCATGGATAAGCAGCATAAAATTGATGAATGGGTTAAAGCTGTGGTAGGCAACTTATTTCAGAAGTATTGTTTGTTATATTTGTTGAAATCCCCTTTACATCCCAACAGCAAGCAATAAATCATATGCTCCGACACAAAAACGAACAAAAATATGTGGCTCTCTCAGGATAGTAATAATCACGGCCAACCATTTGATTTGGTCTGAATGAAATGACTGGCTGGGTTGCCTACCTGCACGCACCCTGCCTGTGCGTTCATTGCAAATGAAAATATGTTTGGATGGAGTAGGATTTCTTAAGTTGGATACTTTCCAAATCTCCTGCTAGTTTCTTGAACATTGCCTACTCCAGCTTTAATTAATATAAGATTTTAGCTAAAACCATTATTAGACAATTGTCCATTCCTATCTAATGTAGGCAGCAGCAGTGAGTGTTTGTGACAGGTCTGATGGTGCTGCCCCCTGCTGCACATTCAATATACTGCTCAAACAATCACGCTTAGTTTACAAGTTTACAAGTGTGTGAGGTCATCCGAGGGCCCGTAAACAGATACTAAAACATTTTGAAAGTAATATGACTCACTACAGTGGCCAAGAGAAAAGATTTAGAAGTTTATAAATTAAATACTTTTTAATCCCTTCTTATGGCTTTTATCAAAGAAACTTAATGGTTTTTAAGACTTTACTGGCAGATACCCTGTAGTTTCAGTTGAACTTTGGATGGGATTATTTTACATACAAAGACGCATTGCTACATGTAATTTTCTCTCCTTTAATCCACCTGCTTCGCTGTTACTTCCCCTGACTGCAGTCTTTGTTGCGCACACACAAGCCAATTAGAGACTCCGTTACACGTATACGTGCCAGACAAACTGGCGTTCACCAGGAGAAGTAACTACAATCCCTTTTCAAAAACAGGTTTCCTGTTTACATGGTGTTCAAGAAATCAGCTTAATGGAGAAAGCTCACTGTAACCTGGATATTTATCAGCATGCAAAAGCACTGAATGAAAATAAACTCTCACCACGTATGATGCAAATATCAGAACCCTCTTGTGTCTCCCACAGGGCCACTGAGGGTCACTGAGCAGGTTAGGATCATACTCTGCCACCTCCTCTACACCTGAGGAAACACAAAAAACCAGAGTGTGTAAAAAAACAAACATCTGAGGTCAGTTAAACTGCAAAGAAGCAGATCGGTTGGCCTACATTGTTCCTGTGCCACACTGTTGTTCAGACGCGCAGGGGTGAAGTTCCTCTGCCCGTTGCCACGGAAACGGGACTGAGTGGTCTGAGCTGTGCAGCTCTCTGGCACGCCGCCACTCTTCTGTCTCACCAACGCATTTGTCGGATAAAGGAACTGAGCGTATGACACCGTCTGAGGAGGAAAAATTGCACAAATCAAGCAGATCGATCTGAGTAATGGGTGTGTTTCTGGGAATATCTGTTCTCTGTTCTGTTCTGATCGTAGTACCATCTATCAGATACACATTTACCTTGCCACAGGCTCCCATCTCCACACCTTCCAGGCAGGGAAGCAGGTCAGCAGCCACCACAGAAGACAGCCTTTGTCTCTGAGCCTCCATCTTAGGATCACTGTTCAGAAAGAGTCACATTTATGTCATTTTCGCCACAAGAAGAATGTACACTGCCCTTTCCTGAGAATGATGATGACGGTGCCGGATCAGACAGGGGAGGTGATGAAAACATAAAAGCAAGGCGTGGGTGGGTGCTCTCTGCTTGGGATGGTGCTTTCTTTATACCTGAGGTGAGCACTCTCTCCATAGGGCAGCACTGAGAAAGCAGCATATAGTGACCGCTTGGCACAAATCAGCACGATCCTGCAGGACACATCAAGTACAGGCAGACAAAACAGATGGTGTGTCAGTCTACAAGCAACAACTACAGTCACTGCTACTCAGCAGCTGCTGTACAACACGATGTTCATCAGTGCTGGAGCTGCAGTGACAGCCAGAGCAGTCACAGAGCCGCTTCAGTATTGAGTTGTACTGTGTCACTAACAAAGCCAAACAGCTATCTACAGCAATCTAAAGCTCTGAGCAGGAGGAGGGAAACCTGAGAGCTCTTGTGTTTTACCATTGCATTCAAGATAAGTAGAGCTGAAACAATAAGTCCATCCAATATTTAGAGAGCAGGACAGCCGATATCAAAACAAATAAGTACAATACAATAATACATGGTCACTTAGCCAGTAATTTTGTTGTAGATAGAATTTTTATCAGTGAACGAAACAGAAAAATACATTGAGTCCGATTAATCGGCCGACCGATAATCAGTCAATTACTAGAGATCAGCATCTGATTTTATGAAAAATATATAACTGGTGATCTTTGAAATTCCCAGAAGGTTGTTAAACAACTCTTACTGCTGTTCTGACTCCTCAAACACTCTTCTAACCACCTGGATGAAAAGATATTCAGTGTACTGCACAATAAAAATATTTTTCTCAAGTTGTGACTGTATCACCTAATCCAGGTTGCTGGAAATAACATATGTCCTTGCCTCTTTTTTTGGTAAATTACAAGCAAAACATGATGTATTATTTTGATTACAAAATACAAGCATGAATATATGCCAATTTAACCGATAATACAATTTCAAATTTTGGTTTACCTTGAATGAATAGAGAAAGCGGACATGTCGTGGGATAAAAAGGAGACGCAACTGGGAAAGTGACAACATCCAACATGCAGAATATTAGGGCAGCAACTAATATATAAATTAGCTTTTAAGACACCAGAAAATATTGAAATACAAAAATTAGAATTTACAAAAGCCCAAAGTGATCTCTTCAAATTTATACTGCGACCAAACTGGAAAGATCAAATGTTATTAAATGACTTAAACAATATCAATTTCAAAATTATTGTCTGTTAATGTTAGGTTGATTGATTGATTGATTAACTGACTATTTATTGCAGCTCTACAGGACACAGAATATTTCTTCATTCAGGTTAGAAGAGTCTTTGTAGGCTCTGAAAATACCTTTTCAACATAAAAGTTTTTAAACAAACTTCTGGGTTTTTAAAGTTTGTGAGTTGTATGTCTCTGTGACGTAATGTTAATCCATGAATGGCACAAGCTGAGGCAGAGAGCTGGACTGGCTGAAAATAGGGACAAGCAACCAACAAACGCAGTACCTCGTTCTCCAGAACGAGATTGTTCGGACAAAAATGTGGACAAACCACTCAAAGCCTATGTAACAGCAACACAGCCAGTGAACACAGACGTGCTTTTCGCAACTAAGAAACCTGCACGCACACCAGGAAGCTTCAGCTCCTCACAAAACACCAATCAATAACATACAGTCAGCAGCCTCTGGGTCTCAGAAAGAAATATCAAATCTCAGTTTCATAGCCTTGATAGCTTTGCTTCAGCTCAGTATGTAACATGCACTGAGTGACTCAAACTGAAACAGACAGGCAGAACTGTGGGGCAATTTGTGATTGCTAGATCATTGTTTTGCACACACCAGTAGAAAACACAAATAATCGTGTGTGGGCATGAAATGTTGGCAAAGTGAAATGTAAAAATGGGAGTCAAAGACACATGGTTTGGCACATGGTTTGAGAAAAAACTGTATGACATGTTTTTTTAGTGTCTACAGACAGAGTAAGTAAGAAAAACAAATACATCAACAGTAAAAACAAGATGGTAGCGATCTTGTTTTTCTAACACTGGTCCACTACATTTCAGTCTTGTCTAGCTTTGGGGGTTACTTTACTGTTGGTGCAATAGGGTGTTACATTTCCGCACAGCACCTCTTTTGGCTTTTGCAAGGCTTCCAAGAGTGATTAAATTCACTGTAGCCGTCACCACTCGGCAGCTGTAGTGCTGTTTTTCCTCTGCAGGCCAAACTAAGACACTCTGCAAGAGTTAAGCAGCTTATTACAATACTAGCAGGAGGAGAATAACACTGCTTATGAGTTGAAGGTTTATTTCAGAGTCCAAAATAAAACAGCCTTTGTGTGTTTTTACATTTCTCTGACAGGAAACTTAGTGTAGGAAACGTCATTGAGTCATTCTGCTGTATATATAGTATGTAAATGTATTTGTATATGTAAATGCCTTGTGGAGACTCACCTACTTCCTCTGGTATCATACTGCCTCATACTCTTGATGAAATGGACTTTCTTTGGCACCTTGGGTCCCGGAGAACCAGAGACATTCCTCAGCCTGAGTAGAGATCAAGAAAGACACAAAATCCCACTTCAGTAATGCTGGTCTAACATGAACCAAACAAAAGGACCTTCACACTCACTCTTTCAGCGATTTAAATCTCCTTAAGTCACAGATTTGGAGGTAAAACCCAAGTAGATAGTCAATCCAACCCCCCTTTTACAAGAGGAATACGATTTATTAAGTCTTTTCACATGAACAGAGTTCGTTCTGGTTTTAAAGCAGGCAGGGGCTTGTTTATATTCATGACACTAATAGTACTGGACACCAAGATACTGTTGACCATAACAGAACACATAGAAACAACCCTATTGTATACTATGGGTAAAATTGTACTTTCCACCTATATATCCATACTAATACTTAACGTATCATACACGTTTTAAAGGTTAGAAGTTTAATTTAAACCACATAAAATGCTGGAAGATTATTAATGCAACAGGAGAACCGAAAGCGAAATCTTCTCATGATACCTGCTGGTTTCATTTTATGCGGAAGTCTGTAGCCTGTTTAAAGGCCCATGGTGAGATACCGACCACTAATATGCTCACCTCTGCCGTGAATCCAGAGAACTACCGGCCGGGACCGGGCTCAGTGCGGTGGGCATTGACCTGACACGGGAGCAGGGCTGGTGTCCGATGGGTCCAGGAGACAGAGGGGTGTCTGGGGTTAGCGTTTCGGCCGCACTCCCGCCCTCCAAAAATACCTCGTTAGCCCCCACAGCACTTGCCCCGGCAAGTCCCGGAGACATTACCAAAGAAGGTCGGGTTGGACTGACCACCCCTGGAAAACTGGAGGACGAGCCACTACCTGCCGCTGCGGGTTCTGTCACCTGGGGGAACGGTCCTTGGCTATCCGCCGGCAGGGGCACGACCGTTGCGCCGCCGTCTCTGACCCGGAGTCTGTGCTCCTCGGTGTCAGTATTTCCATTGCTAAGCTGACACTTGGGCCGTCCGTCGAGTGAGATGTTAGTAAGGAACAACAGAGCTGCCTGTCTCCTCCTTGAATCCTTCGCTCTCCTCCGGTGCTCTCGGTGGGTCTTTGCTGGATTACTGTTACCGCCGGTTGACTGCAGACCGCAAAGAGCGGTCGCCATTCTAGTTTGAAATGTGGCCGTTGTTAGCAAAGGCAACGAGTGACTGGTACCAGTACGCTAGCCCCGCCCCCTACATGTCGATTGGCTGTATGGTAATTATGCGAACTAAACCTTGTAAATACTCGTAGGTGATTGGATAAGAGAACTCTTATGCAAAATAGATTCTTGTTGCTTGCAGTTGATTGGGTGTAGTAATATAGTGGGCGGTACGCTGGAGACAAGGGAAATACCTGCATTCGACAAATTCACCAATTAAATTTGATCTCTGATCAATTTATATGAATTAAATGAATGAATTATTAAAACACTGGTTTTAATACAATACAATAATACAAAAATGTATACAAAAAACACGTCTAAAAGCTGAGAATGCTTATTAAAGGGTTCCTAAGCAGTAACTAATGGCTGTTTTGATGGCTAATAGGTCTAACTCATTTACTGATGTTTTATAGATCAGCAAGTTTATTGTAGCCAGGTTGTGAACAGTTCATTTGGCCGGTATTCATGCTTTGTATTTGGTAAAAATGCATACATTTTGGTAATCTTCTGATAAAGGGTTTCTCACATTCTATAAACCATCAAGTCATGTATTACATACACATGTACATTGTGCTACACATACTTTTTTTGTTTTGTTTTGTTTTACAAAAATTCGTCTTGTCTGCTGTTGGAAAAGATAAAAAAAAGTGTTGATAAATGGGTTTTGGTCCAGATGTGCACTAAACCATTTCAGGTTGTCTTTCTGATGAATTTAAGAAAGACCCAGGCAGGTCTGTGGTATCAGAATGTTTTCCTTTTGAGAAAATGGCGCCAGCTATTTAATTAGCATCAGTGGAATGTGAAACTGACTGTTATCTCAAAGATCTCTCATTTTACTGCAGCAATAGGAGTTAATGGGACAGCTCGCACATGATTTGATCACACCCCATTGACTTACAAACATGAACCTTTCCAAGATAGAAACTGAAGCATGAAAGCTTTTCTATCTCCAGAGTATAAGTGATCAATAGAATAGACTGATGGAAATCCCTAACCTTCCTTCTTTCACAGTTTAGGAGAATTATAACACTAACAGCATGCAAAAGAGTGTTTGAGACAAAGTTCACCTGTTGAGAGGTCACTGACCTATATGGATGAACAGTAGCAGTGACAAGTGTGACACTGCTGCTAATCCACTGATCCACTGCAACATAGAGATGGGATTTAGTCTCAAAGTTAATCCAATCAGAACAATCTGCCTCCTTAGAGGTATCTATCTATCTATCTATCTATCTATCAGACATTCATATTTCCCCAAAGGATGAATAATAGTGATTTTGGTGACTCTTCTAGCACCAGTGTGGGGTTCACATTAGTCTTTGTATACTTGAAATGTATAGAAAACATCTATCTATCTATCTATCTATCTAGTCCTTGGCAATATTTCCGATTTAGGATTTGGGATATACTGACATGATAAGTGAGTTTACGTTCAACAATTACACACATATGACTAATGTTGTTTATGCTGATATATCCTATTCATTTATAAATATATTTTAAGACTACATTTAATTGTGTTTATTGTTTTAAATGTTCAATCATGTGCTTTTTTTAAATCATGCTAGCAGCAGCTGAGGTCAGAAATGTTGGTCTGGAATAAATAAAATTTCCCCAGAGGATGAAAAATACTGATTTTGGTGATCCGCTGACTCCTCTAGCACCATTATGGGGTTCACATTAGTCTTTGTATACTTGAAATGTATAGAACACATCTATCTATCTATCTATCTATCTATCTATCTATCTATGAAAGTGTCTAGTTTCACAGTGAAAAACAGAAATAACAGCAAAAGTCAGGTAAACACTTTGCTCTTTATTTTTTGCAACAACAACATAATGAAATTGTCTTCTCCTTCTTGTTAATTTTTTTCTTGCTCTGAACAGCAACAGTCAGGCATGACCAGTTTAAGGCTTTTTGATTCTAGCTTTGCGTTTGTGTGTGAGGTACAGCCCCGCCCAACTCCTGCCACAACAAGCCCATTTTATGGTACACTGTGTGGTTGTTACGTGATGGATTTGAACAGTTAGCACCATAAATGAAGCCTCTCTGGCTTTGTTACTGCAACAAGGGTGGTAATAATGCTTTGTGGGCTTTATTTATTTTAGTGTCATCTGGGAAAACTGAGCTGACTGGACAGTGTTTACAACAAAACTGTCATATCTCAGTGACACAATTACAAATTAACTTAAATGCACATGGCAGGACTCTTCCTCACATACACCCATATGCATGCTGGTATGTGAGCTCACACATACACGCAAACATACACAGACACACACGCACGGTTCCAAAACAACCCTGATAAAAGAAAGTATGGCAACACTCTATTTTACAGGTCCATGAGGTCTTAATAATTTCCTTATAAGGTTCCTGGACAGAACTTTGTTATTCAGTGTTTATTTGATAAACTACCAAATAATCAATGCCAATTAAATACTAAGCTAGCGTAACTATGACTTTATCAGTCACACATAAGAAGAATGACAATTGCAGTAATAAGTGGATGATGAATAAATAATTTCTTGAGTTTAAATAGTGCAGTTCTTTCAAGGAAATTCCTGTGGAAATAAACAACTGCTTTAAAACTCATCATAAAATTAACAGTGTCGTTCTTTGACTCTAATATTTGTATCAAATTAAATATCTCTTTCTAGCAAGGTTTTGAGGAAATTATAGGAAATAACGGACCTGTAAAATAAAGTGTTACCAAAAGTACCACATGCCTGTACCATCAATAATATCAAAGCTATTCTCTTAGGAGTCTGGAGTCCGCAGCTAATGGTTGGTGTTTGTTTTTTTCCCCTTTTTTTCAGACAACAAAGTATTGATACAGTACAATTACAGACTGTGCTGTCCCTCTGTAACTTACTCTTAATTTTACAGTTTAATTTACATGGAAATTAATTACTGTTGAGAGTCCTATCCGTAGAACACAACCTGCAAATGTAAATGTAAATCATAATGTAGCTATTGTTCAGTACATACACATTCTGAATGAAGGTGCATCTTATTAGAATAATAGTGACGGCATGTCCCAAAAAACAACAGATTGCTTGTAAACACACACAAATCTCTTTTTTTTGTTCTAGCTTACCTCGAAATAACAAATATAGTACCACAGGGACGTTGTAAATCCCACTAACAGCAAGAAAAAGCTTGAAGCCTTTTCACAAATAATCACATTTTCAACTGTTTTTACATTCAACTCAAATGTTGCTTTTGAACTGCCCTTCAGATGTGAAGCAGCATTCTCAGAGACTCCTTCAACATGAGTGAGTAGCTATGGAAAACTATGATTTTGATTACCTGTGTTGTATTTATTGTAGATTGTGTTTAAAATTACAGTGCGAGTTTTACCATATCCTCTCATACTCACTCTCCTACATCGTGTTCAGTGATGTTTCACTTCTAGCTGCCATAAATAATCATGCATGTTGAAGCCCCGTCTCTGTTGTCGGCCGCCTTGAGAGGGCGTGCTGAAGCACCTTCAGCCGAGGAGGACTTTGTGCCTCTGATTGATAAGCTCCACTTCTCCGCCTACCTGTGCTTCTCTCTAAGTTCACTGGACAGCAGACTTTGCTGCCAACATCGACCTCTTCCTGTACCACACCCTGACCTGAGAAATGATACAGAAACCAAAATATGCACCATCATTAGACAACATCACAGCACTTTGTCTTTGTAAAAAATAGACACCATTTCTGTTCCACCATTCCCTTTCTGTTTGTCTCCATTTCTTGACAGTACCGAGAGCAACCAAGTAGGCGTGGAGCTGAAAACAGGCTGCTCAGGGAGAGTCATCCACCTGCCATTTTATTTAAGGCAGGGCGTCCACATGGCAGCGAGCTGAGTCACAGCACCTTCAACACATCACACAGTGGTCTCATACTCCATCACTTCTTTGGGTGTGCCCAGACAGCGGTACTGAATCCTTGGCGTGACCGGGGCAGCGCTTTCAAGTACCAGGATGGTTTTACGCAGCCGGCGGTCGATGAAGTGAGCATCCCAGGCGGGGTACTTCTTCCTGGGCAGATCTATTCGGATGACAGGTCCCTCTGTCCTGGGTGTGAGGTTGGGCACTGCAACCTGAGCTCCCCGAGGTGGTCGTACTTGAAACACGTCTCCATCTACCCCAGTCCCCTGCTCTCTGTCAGACCCTTTAGTTCTCTGAAGGGTCCTAGGGGGGCTGCTCACCAGGTCTGGCGGGAGGCTGGAAACTGGGGAGGCCAGCGACTCCACAGGCAGCTCCTTCTCCACAATATAACCCCACCCTGAGACCGGGCCGTCAGGGTGCAGCAGACAGTAATACACAAACATGAAGAAGGTGCCCAGAGCGTAGCTGCTGGCCACCACGCACACCATGATGACGGCGTAGAAGTCTGAGGTACGAGGGCTGCGGTAGAGGTACCAGGCAGTGGTGAGCGCCACATTCTCAATGAACACAGTCAGGCTGTAGATCAGCATCCTACAACGAGTGCGCCCCTCTCTCACACTGAACCAGCAGAAAACATACATGATGCCCACCATCATATTATAGATGATCTCCTCCCATTTGGACATGCAGAAGTCCGTTTCACCTTGAATTATCCAAAACGTCATGATGCACCAGTGGGCCACGATGAAGATGCCAAAGTAAAGCTGGAACACAGAGGCAAACAGGGCGAAGGCCAGAGTGCGGGCTCCGATGGTGAACAGGTGCCACAGAATCTGAACTATGACGGCTTTGTAGGTCATGGGTAGCTTATCGTCTCGGGAGTCTCTCAAGACTTTCTGATAGGAGGCGATCATCCAGGCGAGGGATATCAGTGAGGCAGAAGCTGAAAGCCCTGGGGAGACAGAGGGAAGGGAGGTGGGAAGAGAGAGACTGAGCAATAGGATGGAAATGGCTCTGGGGTAGCTGCCATTTAGCACAGCAAGAATATAGATTTCCCTGCTCTGTGGGGGCCGGATTGAAGCGAGCACAAGTGACTCATCATGGACAGCGTGGGCTGCAGACGTGTGATTGACTGATGTGGTGATTGGTCATTTTTGGGGGCACTCACCCTGAAGGGGCAGCACTTGACTGGCCTGGATCATGATGCTAAGCTGCAGCACCAGCTGAGGGGCGCTCTTCAGGAAGGACTCAAGCAGACGCAACATGCTGATATCGGCGCTCTCAAACATCATGCACCAGTAGTAGTGACGGCGCTCGGGGTCCCTGTGCCAGCGACTCTGCACACCCAAATACAGGGCGTGGACGTACCTGTGTATCACAGGCAGACACAATTCAGACACATTCATCAGTGCATTCAGTTTTGTTGGGGGAAAAAGTTAGATTGAACAGAATTTGAGGCCTTAATACTGTACTTCAAAAACTTTTGGACATCAAACACAGACTCTCAGAAGTCATAACTCATTATTGCAAACTCTGGGAGCTGTCAGTAGTTCTTGCCAAAAAAGCTGTTTGCTTGCTCCTCTAGGATTTAGATTAGACTGAAACTGAACTAAGCAGCTCTGTGGTTTTAATTTTAGGACAGGCATCGGAGGGGATGAATGTAGAGCTTGTCTGCAATCTCTCTTCAAATAAAATCAGTCAGAGAGCTGCACAAAAAGCTAAATATGAGAGGCTGTGGAGAGAAAAGAAATCCAGTCTTCAGATTGATGGTGGCGCCGGGGGGATCGCTTTAAATCCGTTGTTGAACTCCTGAGCTTTGCTGTCGTGTAGTCCCACTCTCCTCTCCACTGGTTCTATAATTACCTTGTATAATTAACACACATCATTTTGTGGCTACACAAGTTCAAGCTCTTGCAAACATATTTCTGCATAAACCTGATATAGATTTGTACCATGAAAGTATACGACATGTAATCATTACCTTCATCACTGCACAGCACTTAAGTGTTTGAAAAAGACTGGTTGGTTGCCACGGAGGACTGAAGCTATAAACGTCTCTGTAATTGCCTCGGGGACAAGGGTCAGAGGAGACCTATGTCAACAAGCCCAGTGAACCACAAAGGGGTTTTGTAACCCTTTTTTGTTCTGGTTTCTGCAACACAAAGTGTGCCTTGGGATGTAACACACTGAGAAAATAGAGCATACGTGCAGTAATGAGGGTCAAAGACTCAGCCACACACACACACACCGCTTACACTGTGTCTGTAACATAAACCCCATATCCCATCTCTTGCGTGCTGACATTTAATTCTGGTAACCCATATTGATCCCCGGTTCACCTGACTAACTGTGTATCAGTGACAGATCATTCCTGAGTTAACAGCTGAGGGTAAAACACACAGCGTTAATCCTCTTAATGTGCAGACACGCTGGTCTGAGGGCAGCAGCGATGAATGGCGCGCTCACACTCACATACACACAACAGCTTTAATGGCATTACCGGTAATTCTGCACTGCCACAATGTTTTAATGTGGTCCTGGACACACTCACACACACAGAAGTCTCCGGGAGGAAATGAGGAATCAATATATATTACCCATAGGGCTGTCTAAGGAGGCAGGAAGAGAGAGACATATTGACACAGACAGAAGCAGATAAATCAAATAACTGATTTGCATCTGATGTCATCATTACACATAATTTGTCTTTCTATAACCAGTGTCTATAAAATAAAAAAAAATGTGTCATTGAATATCATCACGTTTTTGTTTAACCCTCAACCCACCATAGTTCAGCTGAATGCCTCCTTCTGACTGGCAACAGTTCAAACCTGTCAAAGCCAATCAGAGCACTGAGGCTTGAGCACTGCCTCACCATCACTGACTGAGTAGCTGACCTACAGACCTACTACCATTGATGTAAGAGTAATGCCAAAGTGTACACTGGTTTGTTTTTAATCTCAGGGCATTCCTGCTAATTAAACATGTTTTGGGCTCAGCTGAGAGAGACAGACTTGCAATCTGGAAACTGCTGGGAGATTTGAGAATATGGATTTTACAAACATAAGAGAAGGGCCCTCAAGCTAAGAGCTGAAAATACACTAAACAGAGATAAGGAGGAGGGCACTGCAAATAGGAAGCAACTCTCATGCCATTTATAACTATTCATTTTCTTCAGCAGCCCCTTTCTTTGCAAAAGACAAAGAGATTTTTATTTTCTATATAAGGGGATTGGTGTCGATGAGTTGATGGTTTTCCCGGGAGATGATTGACCTAAAAGCGCGTCAGGGGGCTGGGGGTAGAGTGGGTGGAGTCTGAGTCTCCCTTTCCAAGCTGGGGAGAAACGTCAAACAATACAAAAAGACATTCTGGGATTTTGGGTACAGACCTCCCGGAATGATTACGTTTCATAAGCGTTTAGCCAAAGGGGGTGAAGCTGGGCTTTGGAGAAATCATGTGCGCACACACACACACACACACAAAGGCAGAGGCAGAATGTGTAGTTTCCCCTTCCTCTCATATCATGTTACGCGTGTTCAGACTTACCGCCAGACCTGTGCCAGCTGAAAGATGTGAATGATGGCCTGGAAGAGCCACATGAAGACTCTGCAGCAGCCCCGGGCTCCTCCCCCGGTGCCCGGCCCAGGCAGCACCCCGGCCGCAGCAGTGCGGCCAGCGCCCCGCTCGCCGCTGTCCTTGGTGCTGAAGTCGCTCTCCTCCGCTCCCGACGCCGCCACCACGGCTGCGGCAGCCGTGCCGCTCTCTAAGCTTTCCGAGAAATCGTAGGCGAACCATCGGAAGCTCAACACTTGCACGACCACGGACGGAACTATCACAAAGACGAGAGTCAGTGCAAAGCACCAGTAGTCCCTCCTTAGGTAGTAGTCCGCGGCCAGCCACAGGTCTGAGGCCCCGTCCGAGAAGAAGACCAAAAGGGCGCACAGCGTCCAGCAGAAGTCCGGGAGCGAGTAGCGCTGCTCGGCGGAAGGGCGCTGGGGAGGCCGCGGGTCCGACCTGGGAGGACACTCGGGTGGGATTTCGTTTCGTAGAGAGACGGTTGTACCATCAGATTTCGCGGCCATGTTTGTTGTAGGGAAGAGAGTGAGTAAGAGATGGGAATATGATGGAAGGGGGGGAGGGGGGTCGCGTAGCCTGTCGGTCTGTATGCATGCGTGCGGGAGAGAGGGAGGGGAAAGGAGGCAGGGAGGAGGGCCAGGGCAGCTACCACCGCTCATCAATCAGCGGTGATGATATAGAGAAAGGGGATTTTAATGGCGAGGATATAAAACCTCTAGTGTGATGTCTTTAAAAATAAGATTTCTCGGCATCAAAGTGGGGTTTGGGTTGTTTGGTTACAGCTAGAGGTTATTATCGTTCATATTCCTGCACAGGTAGCACGAGCTCCACTTGCACAGCTGGACCAGTAGGATTGTGACATGCCATCTTGCTTGTAGCCAGTGGTGGAAGAAGTACTCAGATCAGATTCAGTTAAAGTACCACAGTACATTATAAAAATATTACAAGAAAAACTCTTGCATTCAAAATCCCAATGAAGTAAAAGTGCAGAAGTGTTATCAGCTAAATGCCCGTAAAGCAGTGGTTCTCAAACTTTTTCTGTCACGCCCTCCTTTAGAAGCCAAAACAAGTAACAATATTGAATAACTGATTACTGGCGATTGAAAAAAAACAAGAGTCAGATTAGCAAAATAGCCTTGCAAGCATCAGAGCACTTTTTTATGCCACCATATGAATCATATTCATGCAACTTAAGTCTGCGCAAAATTCATGACCCGCCTGAAGTGGCTCCACGACCCCCAGTTTGACAACCACTGCCTTAAAGTATCAGACGTTCTCCTTCTGCAGAAAAATGGCGGAAGTGACTTGATATAGGCTACTGTTTTATTATTAGATCCAGCTCTATCCATGTGAATGTGGAAGAAGCATTTGGCGGTTTAAGCTGGAGCTTCTTTTAAATAGGCTTCTTCATATGGTTATTTAGTTCAGTCACATGCCCCAAACGATAAGGGGCAGGACTCCTCAAAATGGTTACAAGATTTTCTTCTTACAATTTCCACGACAGTGGTAAGATGGTAGGAGAGAAGCAACAAATCTATCTTCTGATACTCAATTTAGTTTTAAGTTTTGGATTTTTCTCTAATATATTTGCTTTTTTATTGAAATATTGTATCATTTCACCTTTTTGGGTCATAAACAATTATTTAAATAAAACCATCTGAGAAGTTTAGGGGAAATGTCTCTTGTTAACAATTCAAAGATATCTGAAAGATGACACTGTGAGGAACTACTGGTTTCATCTTTAATAATATAGTCTTTTTTCATATATGTGGAGGTGATATGTGCATTTGATTATGTGTAAACTATAGCTATCAGATTTTAAAAAAGTACATGCACAGACATAAAAATGCAAAAAAAAAAAATGGAAATACTTACATTGGAGCTACAGAGATCCTATATAAATTTACTTACATAAATACCAGTACCTTCAAATTGTACTTTATTACAGTACTTGAATAAATGCACTTCCCATCACAGCTTAGCTTAACTTCAAAGGCACATGATGTTATTACAACACCTCTGCTACATTTGCACCTGGTGTAAAACTGTCTATCGTACTGCCAGTCATGTACCGGTCATCATGCGGTTATATTTGCAGTCAAGTGATCCGACACCTGAGGTGGACGAGCCAAGGGAGCCTCTAGTTTCTATTCTGCTTTTGCTTTTTAGGGCCTATGCAGTCACAGTTCCTCTTTCTCTACTCCTTCCTGTCTTGGCTTGAACCTCCACTGCAAGTCAGCTGAGCCAACTCCTCTGCTAAAAACCTGGTGACTTGGGTTTTGGCTGCCAACAGGGAACACTTTAGTTACACTTTCAGCTTGTCAAGGCTCTCTCTTGGAGGTATTGATCCCCTCACTGCTGTGTGTCCTTAGAACACCAAAACCAGAACTTTACAAATAGTTATTATATAATATAATAATTTTGTCTGCTGTAGAGAAAACACACGACTGAACAGCATTAAAAGTGGTTTTGTTCCAACCCCGCAGAATATTTTTAACAACGCTAAACATTGTTTAAGACATTTAAAAATCAATTTCAATAAAGAAAAAAAGACCAAAAGTAATGAAAATGTACTAAAATTTAATCATTCATAAAAGCTGGAAAATCATCTGTGACAGCAATATTAGAGTTGGTTTAGTACAATATATTTTCAGCCTCAAGACACAAATCAGAACACGCCATTTCCCCCCCATCAGTCTATAAAATACTAATTTCCTTAGCTTTATTATGCAAAAATGGAAGTAGAATATATTATGGGAAATATGGAAGGCTTGCAGCTTTCAATATAAAACAAAGTCACTTAGGAAAGATGTTATCTCATCAATACACATCCTTGTAAGTAGGAGCGGGTAACCTATGGACAATGATGCATCCTTGTTGACACCGTTAGTGCAGAAATGTATGAAAAGGCCATCATTTCACATTGTTTTGCAAACGTATTGTCACAAACAGGCCAAAAACTGATGTTACTTTTAATAAAACATTTTAGTTCCCATATATGGATTTAAACCTGTGGTCTCTTCTTTTACATTGATATTTCCAAAAGAAAGACACCTTGGAGAAATAAAAACAGAACAAAAGCAGAGTTGTCATCAGGCTGACAAAAAAAAAGGAGGTGGATTTCTTTGCCATTAAAAAGCAGAGAGGAGTATCTTGAGAGAATGTGCCATCTCCTGCCATTTTGCGAGTGGTGAAGTATCTCTGTCAGCCTTTTTCAAAATGCTCTGGAGAGGACTTGGAATGCTGGCACGATCCACTGGGAAACAGTTAATCATTACAAGTTTCTGCAAGTAAGAAAAATAAAAAGTCAGTGCATATTAAACATTGTGAAGGACATGAGCTGTTTGCAGGGAAAAGAGGAGCCTCAGTTTAGAAGGTCCCAAACTTAAAAGTCATGAACGAAAGTGTTTCCCATCAGTATATTTTAACTATATACACAGAGCAATCATTCACTCTCCACTCCCCTGTACCTGTTGCACTGCTTTACATGTTTAGTAAAGTAATGTCTCTGATATTGTTTCCTTAGAGAATGTCAACTTTCTCCTGGCAGATGAGACTGAAAGTAGTTGCACTAAATCTCGGTTGTCCGCCTGCCTTTGCTCCAGGTGAACCCATTCTTTCAGATTTGGAAAGAGACGTTTCGGTGCCAGGTGTGCCGCACTAAATCAGAGTGCAGAGTGTTTTTGTTGCATCTTGCTAAATGTTAAAACGTAAAATAGGAAGCCAATGTTTATGCTCCATGTTTGCAGCCTTGCTAGAAAATTAAATGATGACTCACAAAACGTTTTGAAAAACAAAATGGGTCCAACAATAAATACTCAACTTGTAGTTTGAGAGCCCTGCTTATGTGTTTGGGAGATTATCCCAGTGAGATAAAAACAACTTACTTCACAGTGAATAGCCAGAATAATCCATCAGTAGTTACAGTAGTACGGCACTGAACAGAATATACTTTGCAGAAGGTTTGATGAAATCAAATCGGTCAATAAACCTTAAATATTATCATACCATTATTCTTTGCACATTTTAGCCCCTTAATACAAATCACACATTTAAAAGGTTACCGTTTTTGCTTGCTGTAATAAAATCTCCTGTTCATATTTTCCGTTAAAACAGCGCTTTCTAATGCACTTCCTATGAGATGAGGGACAAAATCCATCCTTGATGTGTGCTAAAATGTACTGCAAAGCTTATCTGAAGTTAATGAGGCTTCAGCAGTCTGGGTCAGGCGAATCGAGCGGTTATCTTCTTTAGTAAAAAAACAAAACAAAAAAATCCCTTTTTGTGGGAGGATGGAAACAAAGAATGGATTTTTGTACTAAAAAGACATTGGAAGAGCCCCATGACGATTGTGAATTTCGTCCCCCCCCCTCCCGTCTTTTACATTACAAGTGTATTATGAAGGCTGGTATGTCACAGTTACAATGCTCCGACAGCAGGTGGAGCTACAGAGTTCATGAAAGACTTACAACATTACCATCTTAGGTCAAAATAAATGGTGGTTGTAGGTTTCAGTTTCTTGGTTGTCATTGGTTCTAGTATTCCCTTCTTTTCATCAGTATATATGAAAATGGAGGGTTTTCGTTTAATTGTTTTTTTTTTTTGTTTTTTTTTAATGCAATATATAAACTGCAAGGGACAGGTGGTATGATGGTATAACTGGCAAAAACTGACACGAGACTGTGTTCATTTAGTAAACTTCCCAAAAGATTTACTCTTAAATCTACAGAGATGCTTTATGAGTCATAATTTTTTCAAAAGACATCAGTGACAGCAACACTGAGTTCACCGAGTTTATCCCGTTACTGACAACACATTACATGCTTGCATGCAATCAGAGTTAATGAAATTACTGTAATAATTGCTGCAATAAACCTCTAAATATTCAGTGAGCGTCCAGAGCTCAGTGAGCAGCAGGAGCCCTGCACATGTCTGGAATATATTTTTATTTCAACACCCACTCACCTGGCCTGGAGCTACTGTGGGAAGGCTTTTTAGAGCAGTGTGCAACTCGACTTCTTTTTTGTCTTCTTCTTTTCCATCGGCGTTTTTCTGTTGATCTGTCGCACCAGATCGTAGAAAATCTACAGCAGAGGAAGAGAAATGCTTCAGCAAAGAACACAGACCTGATATCTGGCAGTGCAAATTAATTTTCTCATGAAACAGAAGAAGGTTATGTTATGGGAAATATGGAGGCTCTCAAAGTCACTTAGGAAAGATGTTATATCATCAGTACACACCTTGTAATTGGGGCAAGTATTTTATATACCGATGGATGTTTCTTTTGTTAAAGCAGAATGTATGAAAAGGCCATAAAGCTGCAACAATTAGTCAATTAATTGATCAAAAGAAAACTATTTTGATTAATGGTTGAGTAATTTTGAGTAATTAAGAAAAATGCCAAGATTTTTTCTAGAATCTCAAATAATATTCTACTGCAATTATATTTCTGGTAGAGCTGAACAAATTAGTAATAATTTTTCAAGGAAAATGACACGAAATATGG